TTCCCTCTCTGTGTGTATTGGATTTATGAATCCGGGTTGCTCTGTAGACTTGTTTCATCCTGCAGTGGTGGTGATGGTGGGAATGATTGGACACGACTTAGAATTAGGGCTGAAATCTCATGATGCAATTCGAACCAGGTCTACTCAGTGGCACTTAATGTTAGGAAAATGTTTTTAGGATTGTGGTTAGTGGCTTACATGCCTGCCTAAGCTTATTGAAGTCAGTGAGTTTAGACTGGAGTAACTCTGTGCTGGATTCTACTATAACTTTTCCATGATGGCACCTATTATCTACAATCGTTTTAAAAAGCACTAATATTAATTTTTAAAATTCATTAAACATTAATTTTAATGTAATACCTGACTGGGTCAACTAATGATTTGTGTGTATGTGTAAAATCAATAATCATGTCAATATTGCATTTTTTTGGGAATAGTTCCAGAAATTTGTGACACACTATCATATGGTAGTATTGAGTGGAGGAAAAAGAATGAGACTGACATACAGTTACTTTCTATATTTTATTTTTTAAAGTTACACCAAAAATAATGCACCGTATCTTCTGTACATTGATATGACAGTTGTTATAAAAGGTAATGACGTTTTATATAAAGCCGTTGCTTCTGTTCGCAAATCAATGGAACTCCGGGATCAGATTTCTTTATCTCACCCCCTGCCTTATGTGAATTAATTATTCCGTGGCTGTAGTGTGGCTGTTTCTTTAAAATATTTCTAGCTATTTCTTGTTGACTTTTCAGTGCAAAATATAGGTAGTTTTTTTGGGGAGCATTAAAAAAGCAGACTGAGGTAAGAAACCCACTGAACACTGGAACTTGCTCTAAGCAAATCTCTCAGATTGTCAGTGAGAACGTTTGTTCAGAGATCCACCTGCATCTATGGTAGACGTGAAGGAAAAATGGTGAAGACTGTGTATATATAGTGCAATCTTATGCATCTTTACTTAGAAGTAAGTCACACTATGTTCAATGAACTTACTTGCATGTAAATATACATCAGACTGCAGTGGTAGTTCCTAGCGCATAGTAGTCTGTTCATGAACACCTTCCACCATGTGAAAGATTGTGATTTGGGTATGCTTCTTAAAAATGATGTGTAGCAGCACTCTGAAATCCAAATCCTGTGCACAGCAACTTTCCCCTTGTTTTCTGTCATTGTGTGACTAGGTCCTGATTAAGGAAAGACTGAAGGTTTTGGATGAAAAGCATAGCAAACTGGAACTTACTCTGGATTTAATACATCATATGATTGTAACAAAGATGATCAAAGAAATAACAGTCTGATTCAATACACAAGTCATTTTTTGACTGTTACTGAAAGTAGCTCTTGAAATAAATGCAGAAATTGGGATGGAATTTCATAGAAGCCAGACTGATTATTGCAAAGAGAGAGAGAGAGAGAGAAGAAAAAATAAGAAGTCCTTTGTGCAAGAATAATATATTATAGACATTTCTGGTAAATAATAGTAATATTATTTAAATATTTATGTGTGTGTTCTTTTACACACACACATTGCAACAACTTGTGGTTGACTAGAACAAAACAACTTAATATTGGGAGATCAGCAATCATGTACCACAGGTTGGAACAACTTTAAAAATTTATTTTCATATTAAATACTTAAAAACATAGTGCTGTCAGTAATGCAAGTTACAAAAGATTATTAAATCATGTTCCAAAAAGTGAAATTAGTATAAATACTTCCCAGTTTATCTATAATGCATTTGATTATAGGTCACCAGGTATTCAAAGCTGCCATAGTGAATATTAGACTTCTGACATGAATTCTGTTTTATGCTGGAAAGTTCCCAAACATTTGAAAATCAGTCTGAGGTTTTGTTCTTGGAGTCTTTAATTTTCATTAATTTTCCTTCTACTAGTCTGCCAATGTTGTTTGTGCAGCTGTGATTGTATACAGCAGAGGACCATTGGTTTTTGTGTTACAAAGGATATCAGAATAGAACTAAATCCCAAACAATAGTACAATCCCAAATGTCTAAGAGTTCATTTAGCACCTAAATCAATGAAAGATCTGTAAAACTTTCTGGTTTTTTTTAATTCTCTGCCTGTTTTATGTCTGTGATACACTTAAGTTTTCATAAAGTAAATTTTAAAAAGAAGGAATGCATACAAGGATACCAAGACAGTGATCAGCCATGTTGCTATTCATTATGAGTGCTAATTCAGTTTTGAACATACATAGAGTCCAAGTGATGCAAGTTACCATGCAAAACACAGATATTGCAAGGCATACTGGGTACTGGGGTATGCCAGCAACTGCTGGTTGTTTGTTGGTTAGATCTGTATCCCCTTCTTCCCCCAAGGAGCTCAGGAGGACTTGGGTGCAATTCATCCAAAGCTTTATGCCTGAGTGGGTATTTGAATCTGAGGCTCCCTTGGTACTAGTCCAGTGCTCTAACCACTGCACCACACTGTTTGTTTCATAAAGTATCATTTGATCACCATGGCCCTCGATTGCAAGTTATTAATAATGCTTAACCTTCACATGCATGTCCAGTATTCAAAGCACTGGACATCCCTGGCTATGGAAATCCTTACAAATTCCTTATAAGGTAGATCAGTAGTAGTTTCCCCATCTGCAGTACGGGGACATGAAGAGTGATGAGTTTGTCTAAGTCCACCTTATCAGTTTGTCACCGAGATGAGATTTGAACCTCCTGGATCTCATTTTGTCAACCACTCTGCTACCCCAGCTAAAGGCTTCTTTCTGCCAGTTGTTGCCAACTTCTTGCTGCTGTGCCAGTAGTTGTAACTTGGTCTGCAGCCTTTAGTTGGGAAGCCTTCTCAAGATATAGAGACAGATGTTATCACCTACTTGCTACTAATGAAGCCACCATCACAGATGCTGCTACCAGTCCTGGTTTAACAAGGTGGCAACCTCAGCTGTTGGTTGTGTCCTCTCTTCAGATGCAGGCTGTGTTTCATTTTCTTTCTAGAGTCAGCTTACCAGCATAATAGGAAGAAAGCTAATGCCTCCTAACATTTTAACAGTGATTTGGCAGTGAGGTACCCAAAAACAGAGACTGACCCTGGAAAACCAGGATAGTGAGAGGGTATATGGTTCTATCTCATGCTCAGGGTGAGAGCTTCCTTCCAGTCCTCTTTAAAGAAGAAATCATGTATCTCTTGCTTCTCCTTTAAACTCCTCCTACTTTGTGTCCCATGTCATTTGGCCCATCTTATAGAAAGCCATCCACTTCCCTTTAATACAGTAAAAACTGCTTCTGAACGGCTGTTGTCTCATGGTTTTTAGACTTCTAAAGGCCCAGGAAGAAAGACGATGGGAATTGCTAGTGGAAGAGCATCGTCTTCTCTTGTCAACCTTTTCTCCTTGAATGAAATCCAAACATTCCTCTGCAGCACAACATGTTGCTATTACAGTCTTCATTCCAATGATGCAACTACTCTGTTGGTTATCTCCCTCTTATTCTTCATCCGCACGAACATATTGTGGAAGCCAAGGCCGTAAGATAGAAATCTAACATGTGTTATGCTGTTGGCTTCTCTGAGGTAAAGTTTTATAAAGGGCTTAAGACACATATAAATAAAGCACCATCTGAATCCTAAAAATTTCAGAGCCAAGAGACTGGAATTGCAGATCTCTTTTTCAGTGAAGAAGTTGTATTCCTTCGTAATAATAAAAATCTGAAGGGGAATATAGTTGCCCTTTTAAGTCTGTATTTCCTTTCCATCACAAACTCTTGTCTCTCATGAATGAAGGAACAGCTAGGTCTAGAAATTTTGGCAGCAAATTAATAGTCTCAGGTGGGTAGCCACCTTGGTTCGCAGTAGAAGGGCTAGATCCGGGACAAGTGGCGCTTTAGAGACCAACAAGGTTTTCAAGGTATAGTAACATAAAATCATAGAACCACAGAGATGGCAATACAGGCCAT